GCTAGTCTTAAAACAGGTTTATCAGCAATTTTAATAAAGTAGGGAGCGTATCAATTATTGTCTCTTTATGATTCTTTATATCCTAAGGAGGCTGGAAAGGATTTCTGAAGTCATTTAGTTCAACACTTAGCCTAAGCAAATCCATACCCAAATCATCCCACTATTCATTTTTAAGAATCTTGCGTCCCCCATCCTCCCTTCATCATTTGTTAGCATAAGTCATAGCAGGAACTCTAGGAAGTTGCAGATTTAACTTCTGTGAAGAAGTCAGAGATATTTTTCAGCATTATACAGAGGCAGGACAGAGACTTTCTTTCTCTTTGTCTGTTTCCCAGTCTAGTCTGATCTACTATGCCGTTAGAGTGAGGATATTATAATGTATGGGGATACATACTCCAGAAATGACAGTGGTGCTGGTGGGCATTTAAGTGTAGATTAGAAAACTGAAAGTCCCGTGCCAAAGGAAACTGTCCTCCAAAGACAGGAGCTAAGGAGGCAAACTAATTAGTCTTCACTTCTATAATTTCCCTGATTACATATCTCCTTTTACCCCATGTACTATGCCAGTGAGTTCCCCCAGACATAGACCTAATCAAGGAGACAGAATATTGATGCAAGGCAATTTAAATGAGAGCTGTGTTATGCTAAGATATGTGACCAACAATGAGACCTAAACAACAGGGAAGCCCCTAAGACATAAAAAATGGCTGGGCCAGATACCATGCTACTGTGAATTTCAAAGCAAATGAGGACAGAAACAACTAAATGTGTCAGCTCCTACTTGGAAAACTTCATTAGAGAGGGCAACTTTCCTGAGGACAGGGGTGTGACAAACTAAACCACAATAATTTATGTGACATGCCATACCTGAATTAGCAGATGGAGACTGGTACTTCTTTGGCTAGAACTCTTGGTTAGGGAGTATGGGTTGAGTCTCCCTTATCTGAAACACTTGGAACACAATGTTTCAAATTTCAGATTTTGGAATATTTGTATATACATGAAATGATATCTTGGGGATGGGACCCAAGCTCAAACATGAAATTCCTTTGTTTCAAATACACCTGTACCCATAGCCTGAAGGTAGTTTTATGCAATAATTTTAGTACATCTGTGTTTTAACTGTGATGTATGTTTTGAGGTCAGGTTTGGAATTGTCCACTTGCAGTATTAGGTCAGTGCTCAAACTCTGGAGTATTCCAGACTTTAAAGTATTGCTGATTTTTTGATTATATATAAGCAGATATGAGAGTGCTAGAGAAGAAGATGAAGTGTCTGTAACTCCTTGGGAATACTGGAGTCACCAAGCACTGATAGATTGGTACAGTGGGTTATGGTCACCCACAGTGGGAAGGTCTTAATCAGGCAAGAAGTTTTTCTTTTAAAAATTTAAATTAACTAGCCAGGCACAGTGCCTTAAGCCTGTAATCCTAGCTACTTTGGAGATGGAGATTGGGAGGGTTGTGGTTCAAGACCAGCCTAGGCAGTTTGTGAGATCCCATCTCAACCAATGGCTGGATGTGGTGGCACCCATTTGTCATCCTAGCTCTCCAGAGAAGCACAAGTAGTAGGATCATGGTCAAAGCTGGCCTGCACATAAAGCAAGACCCTATATCAAAAGTAACCAACATAAAAAAAGGGCTGGAGGCATAGCTCAAGTGAAAGAGCAAGGCCCTGAGTTCAACCCCCAGTACCACAAAAAACCCAATTATCATATGTTGGGGTCCATCTCATGCTGAGTCTTTCTTTGGACTTAACCCCTCTGCTTCACTCTTAAAAGATTAAGAGGACAAATTCTAGAGTTTAACTGCCTGGATTCAATTCTGGATCCTGAGCAGCTGCTTAAGAGCTGTATGAATATTGGAAAGAATTTTACCTATTAAGGTCTTGGGTTTCACTACCTGAAAAATGGATACAATATTACAATGCATACAGGAAGGTTTATAAATAATACTGGTTCATGGATTAAATAACAGTAGTATAAAACATTTGGCTTGGCACAGTGCCTGCAACATAGTTAATGTAAAGTAAATGGTATTTTTTTTCATAACTGTAATCCTCAGTAATGCAACAAAAGACAAAGCTAGAGAGGTCCATGTGCCACGATCACAGGAAAAAATGGTGAGAAATACAGTGACGTGCACCAAGCAAGGCTCTGACCTTTAAAGGAAAACAAAGATGCATACGATGGTAATAAACAAGGGGGAATACTGGGAGTGCAGAAAAATTATCATTGTCATTTCTTTTTGTGATTATTGTGTAGTGGTGGGGTGACTACCAGTTTTATTGGGATGTTTTATGTGCTACTAGATTTACTTACTGAGAATGAACAGATAAATAGGGATGTTATTCAGGGTTCTCAGCAGCTCTTCTGCTAACTTTCAGACAAGGTTAATTAATGAGGGACATTCACTTTGGAGGAGGAGGAGAAAGGGGAAAGGTGGGATCTGTTGGGTGATTCATCTCACTAGAGGGGACAGTGGATGAATCAATCCTTGTAGGAAGCAGTCTGGGAGGGCCGCAGGCACTGGTTGGAGGATTTGATATCTTGAGAAAGTCAATGTCACAGGAGGATGGGCATTTTAACATTACATGATTCAATGGGCTCTAGAGCAGCTCCTAAATCATTTTCAATTCTGTTTGTTCAAGTTTGCACCATTTGATATTCTGTTTCTCAAACTTCCCCTTTCTAGCAAGGGTATGTTTAATCTTAAACTCAAGGTGCTTCAGAAACATTTTTCTTCCATTTGTTCACATGGCGGTTCCTTCTCATTCACCACTCATGGTGACAAGTCATCCACCCTGGGAGATCTTCTGTGGCCTTCCTATCTAAAATGGTCTCCAGCTCCCTCCTTACCTCCTTAACACCCTGCAGAGTAGCATGGCCTAGTGGTTAAGTGCATGGGGTGTGCAGCCAGACTCCCCACTTTCAAGCTTGGCTTCTTCACTATGAGATGCTGGGTATTCTAACTCACTTCTCTGTCCTTACTTGCTTTATCTGTGGAACGGAAACAATAAACTAGGATTGCTGTGAGAGTAAACACCTATAAACTATGTCATGCTCAGCAGATTGCAGCGTTTCTGGAAATTAGTTGTTATTTTAGATTTCACTACCCTCTGAAGTCACCTTCTTTACTTCTTGTTACTGTCTCTCTCGCCCTGCTAGAATGTAAGCACCATGAAAGCAGACACTTTTCATTGCTCAATGCTGGGGTTTTAGGATCTGGAACAAGTCTCATAGTAGTAGTTCAATAAATCGTTGGTGAATGCATCATAAATATTTATCAGTACTTAGGAGGTTCATGTGTCTACTTTCAGGCCAGGCAGGAAAAACAGCTTTTTTGGGGTAACAAATGAAATATTACTGAGACATACTACACAAGAGATATATCGCCTCTTGCCCAGACTGAAACTCTATTTCCCTATATTATTTCTTTATTCCAAACATCTCATTTTTTTGCAGATCAAAAACCCTGTAGAGCTAGTTTGTAATACTAAATTGTTTTTCTGCTTTTTCTCAAATTAAATTATCTACTGATATTGAATTACCCTATTATTTTTTCAGACTTACCTCTTCCACCTGGGGTATGCCCAGGGTAAGTGGAAAAGGTAAAGACTAGAAAAGGTGAAGAAAGAAAAGCTGAAAGACAGAAAAATAAGAGTGGGTGGAAACTCCATGGCTTTTAATATCTGGAATATAAAGAATGATTCTTGCTAGCATTAAAATAATAATCCCCACATCTGTAGTCTGCTTACAGAATTCCAAACTTGCTAATGCTACATGACTAACAACTAATAAATGCAGTGTTCAGCTAGGCAGGGAAATACAAAATGGTCAGAAGGATGAGTTCTATTTTACTTCCCCCAAAATGCTGCTTTGTAACAAGCGTCTACAGGGCAAAGCTACCACTGGCAGAGCTGCCCAGTTGCCTCCTCTTTGCTTCACACTCTGGTAAAGGTCAAGGTTGCTCCACATGTGCCTTTCAGACTGTAGGACAGCTCAGCTAAAGGTCGTCCTTGGAGGGGCCAGCTTCTCCACCTCCTCTCTTTTCTTTTCTTTCTTTTTTTTTTCCTTAAGAATTAATGTCAAAGACAGTGCTCAACTCTGAATTTATATAGATGCTAGTCTCTTGATGACTTATATAAAGGTTTTAAGGCCTGATGATAGTGGCTGTTATCATTTAGGATAACAATGGTATGGTCACCCTAAATAACTGAACTATTATAAGTTCCAAAGTCTGAAATTGGGGATGCAATGCTGGCTGACCACACTGACAATATATTCTGCTTCTGCCTGCCTTCCTACATATGATAAATATTGTTTAAGAGACTAGTTAGTGTGTTGTAAAATTGATAAGATTCAGGTTGCCAAAGGCATTTCATAGGTTTAAATTTATGTTGCTATAGTAACTGGAATTTCTTGAAATTAGAAGGCTTTTACATCCTTAACCTTAAGATGATAATAATGTAGATTAAGATTCCGGACTTTGTCTCTGCTTGTGAAGAGCATATACCTTCTATTTTGAGTATTCTGTATACACTAAGGTCTGACTAAATGTCCTGTAACTGAAATTTCAAAATTAAGGTTCCTAACGTTTTCTTATCTACATGTACACATCTGGTGGTGTCAATGTTATTAAACTGGACAGAATCTAAAAAGAAAGGGAATTTGAAGGAGAAAAGAGAAAAGTGGAACTCTCTTAAGTAGCAGTTCTAGAACACTCATTTTCAGGACTGACCTGAACTTGCTCCCTTTCTCCATCAGTGTGAATTTTGAGCAGGTGCCGAAGCACTTGGTGTGTCATTACCCAGTGTTGTAGGAAAGGACATGACCTGGGGACAGTCAGTGAATAAAGATGCCCCTATTGAGATAGAAAGGGGGTTGCTGCTCAAGGTTGCATGTGTTAATTACATGGACCTAAAGCAGCTGGGAAATTCAATGCAAATCACCTAGGATTGGGCTGAGACAGAAATGTGTCCCCTCCCAGAACCCAGCTTACCTTATATCCTGATGATTTGATGTGCACACCGCGTTTGGTCAGGGTAGATTTCATTCGGATGAAAAAGGAACGCTCAAGGGTGTTGTCAGTGGTTAGCAGACTGGGGCTGGTTGACTCCACTGAGGAATACAAAAATACACACACACGTGACTTAGATCTCTGCACAGCCCCTTCCTTACAGCTCCTGCTCAGGTGCAACCCTTGAGTTCACTAAAAATGAATGACTGATGGGTACTAAGAGGGTAGTAATCAATTTACCTCATTTAGAAAATGTTTACTTTGCAGAAAATAGAAAGGGAAATTAATGTATCTAAAGTAACTCCTTTCCAGTTTCTAGCAAGAGCTTTTCAGGTCTTTTTAACTTGCTGCAGCTCCTTAAGAGGGGTCTGATAGTTAAGTAAGAAACTGCAGCTCTCTCTGAGGTTGGATGGTATGCATGGAGAGAACAGGGGATGGGTGGGGGGAAAGAAGGACCCTGGATAATGACGGGATCAACCAAGGCAGAGGAGCTCTAACGACGGGTAAGGAGGACTTGATCTTTGATCTCCCCAACAAACTCTGGAGTTTTTTTTTTCATTGTGAGGAACAAGAAGGATGACTCCAGACACAGGGATGAGAATGGGATGTACAGACAGACAGAAATAAAAACATCTCATGACATTGACTTCCATTGCTGTCATAATTGCATCTTGCCCCCAAATAGCAAACAATTTTCTCTTTTTACTTCTCTGTTTCAAATGTGAAAAAATAAATTTCCTCTTTAAACAAAATAGCCACTCTTTCCTTTTTATATGTTTTGAGACTAATAGAATATGTTTTGATCTATGAATCTTAAAGGGGTCATTTACAATCTTGCCGATCCCAGGACTCCTTTATGTGAACAGGCCAGAAGGCAATGAAAGTGTATTTTATTTTAAAACAAGCTCCAAAGATTTTTTTATAAATTTAAGTCTTTTTCCACAGTTAGTTTGGGAGGTTTTAAAATCTACTAAATATTCTAATTTTACTTTTCTTAAATATTAAGGTTTTTCTTATTTGAAAGTTAAAAAAGTTCAACAAGCAGGATTTCTTTTGAGTAGCTTTAAATTAACACTAATTTTCTCTGGAATGGAGGTGAAAAAAATAGACATAATGAAGAGATTTAAGAATTAAGTATATGTGAAAGTAGCTGTTAAAAATAGATTATAAATTGGTAAAATCAGGTTTTAAAATTTTAAATTATGGAATATAATTCATATATTTCTGAGAATAAGTAATCTATTTTTCATATTAAATTTAATGGTCCGATGAAAAAATGAGAGTGTCTTTAATAATAGGAAGCTTGCTATTTGTGGTCCAGGGCTTTTCTTGTATCATTCTCATTTTTTTTTTATTGTTGTGCTGGGTGGGGGTATATTGTGGCATTTACAAAGGTTCTTATAATGTATCAAATATACCATACTGTATCATTCTTAATAAGACTATTATTTTCCTCTATTTATGGCTTTTCTACTCGGGGGTGATGGAACCATCGACAAGTGTCCCTTTCTTATGTGTCTCTCTTAAGGTTTTCTTCTTTTTTTTTTTCTTTTAGAGAGCATGGATCTGATGTCATTTTAAATGTACAGCTTTTTATCACTCGAGGGAAAAGCAGAGCCCTGTTATATTTAGTACTTTCATTTCTTCTGATTAAATATGAATTACTATGAAATTTTTCTCATCATCTAACACGCCATAATACGCCAACAGCTTTTTAATACACTATATAAGCACAAACTTCTGCTCTAAGAGTTTAATTCGCCCCTCTAATCCAATCACATCAACCTTATTTCTCTTATCAGAGATTCCCATTTTGAATTAAATGAGCTCATTAGTTTTAATCAAAAGCAGAGAGATCAAAACTTAAACGTAAATGCTTTAGATCAGAACTGTCAGTCAGCCGTGCAGTTCTATTTTACTAAAACACAAGATCAGAGACCCTTAGAACCAATTTTTTCTCGTAAGGGATGCCGAGAGCTTGAAGATGCTATATCCTTTTTTTTCCTCCCAAGGACAGATTATACATTTAAGGTTAGACTTAATTCATAGCAGTTTTTTTCATCCTGGTGGAAATGGAAAAGTATGCCAATCTACTGTTGTCCCTTTCACATTTATTGGCACTGGTCCACAGAGACTTGAACTAATGTGAAGCCATCAGAAGCCACACCACAAACTCAGCCTTAAAAATTCAGCTCTGTTCAGCAAGATTGTGTTTGCAATAGCTGAGGGGGAAAAACTGACACTTCCAAGAGAAGTGGAATATGTTTTAAGGCTAGGGTCCTGGCTACCCAGACCCAGGAAGAAAGGAATCACCTTGCTGAGGAACGGAGGCGAATTCAGGTAACATGAGAAACTGGTATTGTCTTCAGTGTGGGTAGTGCACAGTAAAACACTCTGTAGAGGTGAGACCACAACATACATGCGTCCAGCTGGGTGAAAACACAAACTTCGTCTGTCTGTGGCGCCAAACATAGCATCATACACACCCTGGCTGAGACAGGAGTGTGCACCCCAGCTCCTGTTACAATAGTCATTGCCTAAACATATAGGGCAGTGTTAATTACACTGGGGACAACTAGTGTAAGAGAAATGCTAAGGTCAGGTTTTGCCTCATTGAAGCTGAGATTTAAAATCTAAATTGGTCTGCAAACTTTATTTCAAGATCAAAGCGGTATGAGGAGTCAGAGAAGAGACAGATTAGAAAAGAGCTTGATGTCTGATGATTTCTACTTTAACTGCTTGTGACTTTCTAGTTCTGAGGACAGGACAGGAGAGGAACCTGGTATGCTGTCCCTTTCAAAGGGGTATGTGACAGACTCATTCATAGCACCACACATCACGGCCTTGCTTCCTCCTGGGCTAGCAAATACAGTCGGTTTATCCCAACTGTGACAGTGATGTCTCGTGAAAAGAATTACTATGTGACAGGCAAGACTGCGATTGAGACTGTGATGAGGGCTGTACTGAGGGAGCGCCAAGGTAGCACAGCCATGGTGGTTGACAAGACCGTGGCACCAAGTAGAGGAGGGGCATGTGGAAGCACTGAAGGGAGGTCAGAGTAGTGATAAAAGTCTTCTTGGGACCTGTGCTCTCTACAGACCATGACACCAGTTTATGTATTTTAGAGTGCTTTCTAGCTACAAAACGCTTCTTTTTTTTGTCAACTTTCAGAGGGTGGCCATGACTGCTGCATGCTCTGCTAAAAATGTTTGGGATTCAGAGAAGTTCTACCTGCTGCCTGGGACAAGGGGACATCTGTGTTAGGGCTGGATTCAGTGGTCAAAACTCACACTCAATTTTGACCTATGAATTATAAACTAGGAGCTAAAAAACAAAAACAAGACCCACTTCATTAAAACTAAATAAAGAAATATATAATACTCTCTTTTGCTGAATCTCCAGGGGTTCAACTTTTTGATAAATCTAAGTCACCTCAGTTCTTGAAATGTCAGCTTTTTCACATTCTCTAAAATTTACAGAATACTTTATAGCAAAAGTTGTAATGGTTTTGATGCTGGCAGATGCTACCATATACCGAAGCCTATCTGTGTTACTCCACCTCTGTGTATGATTCTGGAACTGGTGGTGTGGCTGCTGCTATCCTCATCTTTAGGTAGGGGTATGGAGGGTGGGGAGGAAATGGAGGCAGGTGGCTGAGAATAATCAAGACCTTACTGGGCTAAAACTAGGGCCGTGTGCACTCTGAACAGATTTGCTTAAGGTCTTACAAGTGCATGAGGCCAAAGCATAGAGAGGTCTTTCTTTGTAGCACAATCCAGATGTTTTTAGTGTGATGCCTGTATCAAAACCCTCCAAGTGCCACCAAGTCCTGATGTGCAAAATAAGTTTTAAGAACCATTGCTCCTCAATAGTAAGGTATTTTTCTTCTTAAATGTGAGGTGAAGTTGGGTAAGTCCTTAAGATATGAAGTTAAGCGTAGTTATCCCTCACTGGTTCCAGAACACCAAAATCCTGGGATGTTCAACTCTTTTACATAAAATGGTGCAGTATTTTGCATATAACCAATGTATATTCTTTCTTATAATTTAAATCAATACTAGTACAATGGAAACAGCAGTTGGTCGAATTTACGGATGCAGAATCCATGGATATGGAACACTGACTATAGACACTCGTTCCCATTTCATTGCCTAAACTCATCTTTTCAAATCTTTTTCAGATGTTCTATTGCATACAGGACAAATCAAGGCACAAATATCCAGTGACTGTACAAGACAAGGGAGATGTTTTATTTTGTAATTATCTTGAGAAAGCCAGACTGTTTCACTGGCACATGCTCTTAGTTTTGTTAGAAATTGATGTATTTTAGAACAAGGATGAGTATGTGTACATGGAAATTTGACAAGTTGTTTCTTTTCTTATAAAAATTTCCCTTTCAAGTAGTAGAGTGACTAATAGGGAAGGGCCAAGGGGGTGGGGGTGGAGGGAGATGGAAGAGTAAAAGCAAGGGGAGTTGGGTGGGTGGATATGACCAAAGTATTCTATTTGCATGTATGGAAATGTCACAGTAAAACTCATTAATATATGTAATTGATATTCATTAATAATAAAAAGTGCTTTAAAAAGAAACTTTTCCTTTCACTTGAGGAGACTGCAGTTCTGTAGCCACTTGGAGTTGAGGATGCTCATAGGACTTGCTTTAGCTAATGAACGAGGGGCAAAAGTCACAGGTCATCTCCAGGTGGAATTTTCAAGAGCCAGCCATGATGTGCCACTGTCTCCTTCCCTTTGCAATTGTGACTATTTACATTTTAGGCTGTGGCTGCTCCATGAGCCTGGGTCTTGGAAAATAATGTGGAGCAGAACCTCCTGCCAACCCTCAAATAAATAAATATTTGTTGTAATTTGTGGGTTGCTTTTTTTTTTTTTACTTCAGTATAATCTAGTAATCTAGTCCATACTGACTAATGCAAATAATAAATGTTGATTATAGTACAAAGAGTTGGTTTGTTGCCCAAGATCGCTCAGTCAGTGACGGAGCGTGAATATCACACATGTTTATAACTCAAATATATGTATATACACACACACACACACATATATATGTATATATACATATATACACACACAAACGTATATA